TCATAATCAGGCCCACACAATCACACGCACGCGTATGTGTGTGTGTGTGTGTGTGTGTGTGTGTGTGTGTGTGTGTGTGTGTGTGTGTGTGTGTGTGTGTGTGTGTGTGTGTGTGTGTGTGTGTGTGTGTGTGTGAGATTATCAGATTATGTAAGGCAGGTTTGCACTGCTTATAGCCAAATGAATAATGGAGGAGCGCGCAAAGCAGCCGGGATGAGACCGCGAGGGTCCAAGGGGGCAGACTGAGGATGAGGAGCGAACGGCAGAAGGAAGAAGGCGAGGACGCCATGGTTACAGACACGGTGAAACGCGGGAATGCCACTAGGATGGACGAGCTGGAGGCTCGGGTGGGGGGGGAGAATAAACGTGAAAGAAACAAGAGCAAGCTTGTTTGCGGCTAATTTAGACACACCTCAAGATGTTCCTCTTCAATCACTTTTGCTCACTTCAATTTAACATAGTTCCTTGCCAATGAGATGCTGCAGAATGGTGGCAAAGCACTATTTTTTTGTCTAAAGAAATCTCCTCACTTCACTTCAACATATTTCTCTGGCAGCAAGATGCCACAAGATATTGGCAACACACTACTTGTGTATAAATGAATCTCCTCAATTCACTTTAACACAGTTTCTTTTTACCAAGATGTTGCAAAATGACGGCAAAGCACTAATTTGGTCTAAATTAATCTCCTCAATTGACTTCAACATAGTTCCTTGAAACCGAGATGCCGCAAGATGGCGGCAAAGCTCTATTTTTGGTCTAAATGAATCTCCCCAATTCACTTCAACATAGTTCCTTGACAACAAGATGGCGCATAATGGTGGCGAAGCGCTATTTCGTTCCGAACGAATCTCTTCAATTGACTTCAACATAGTGCCTCACCACGAAGACACCAGAAGATGTCAGCAAAGCACTACTTTTGTCTAACACTGTAATACTAACGGTTTAGAATGTCATCCCGATTTTCCAATCGGAAAATGTTTCCTCTCCGAGCGTTTACAAGATCAGCAGCTTTGAAGTGCAACCGAGTTAAAAAAAATTCCACATCGGGATGGAACTTGACCTCATTGGAGCCTTCACAGCGAGCAAATGTTTGAGCCTGAATTAGTAGCGGCTCTTGTCTATTTATTTTTCTTTTTTTTTCCTGTGGAGTTGCTCTCGTGGCAGAGACTCCAGTGCCAGAGCACAAGCCGCACAAGCTGGGTGGAGAGGCCAAATGACAGGGTGTCAAGGGCGGAGGAGCAGGAGAGGAAAGAGGCCACTTACAAGTCAGCAGGCACTCCGGCAACAAGTGCTCCATCCATCTGCTTCCCCCCCCTCCCCTCCTCACCCCTTCCTCGCTACCTCCTCCGGTCAGCAATCACAAAGACCCACCAGGAAGCTCGGGCCTTCCCTCAACTGCCTTGTAGCAGCTGAACAACACAACTCTCAACGGGCGAACTGTCACGTTGAAGAAGGATTGGCCTGAATTTTACTGTTACCATCAATTGGCAAGGGAAGGAAAAGAGATGTGAAAATGCAAAACAAGTGATAAGACCCAACATACAAACAAACTGTACGAAATATTTTGCTGTAAATATTTCATTTTGACCACACTTATTTCTTTTATTTTCGTTACTGAAAGCTACAAAGTGTTCTCATCAACAAAGCGCAACCGACACAAAAGACAGCCCGAAATTGAGGGCCTGCCTCTCTCTTTCGATTTGAGACGAGCGCAATCAAAGGCGATCCAATACAGAAGTCGTATGACCCCCCCACAAGGCTCAAAAGGCTCACTTTGGAAGTTTCGTCGCTAACGGGTCAGCACCGCGGGCTCGTAATGACTCGACCGTTCATCACAGAGGCCGCGCTCCCGCATATGCGCTGGGCCAGATGCGATCGCTGTGAGGGGCGAGGGAAAACGATGAACGCTTTTATTCACCATGTGGGGGGGCTTTTTATTGGATCTTCATCACAGCATCATTGCTCTTCTCACTTTTATGTAACTGACTCTTGGCCAGATCGTCATTGTAAATGACAAATGGTTCTGAACTGACCTACCTGGTTAATTAAAGGTGAGGTAAAGTAAATACAATTGAAATAATCAAATAAAATGGCCATTTAGTCTTTTTTATGGCTTTTTAAGCTATTGCTAATTTAGCGTTGCGCACCTTCAACGCAGTACCACGTAGCGCCACAACCTGGCGGGCAGCACTGAGCCTGACTGGATGTCATGATCCTGTTCTTGTGATTCTCCAGCAGGTGGCAGATGCGGGCCTTCCCTTCTGTGTGCACACCTGCTGCCAATTTTCATCAGTCTGGTAATTAAGGAATTGACAACCTGCCTGCAGCTTTTCAGATTATTGACCTTGTTGCTGCTCTTGCTCAAGTGTTTGTTTTTGAGTCCTCTCACTCTCGTCATCGTCATTCTTGTTCCCTTAGTTCCAGATGTTATGACGTATCACTTTTGTTGAGTCATTTGATCTTGCTTTTGTCTTGTCGTGTGAATAGGACTTGGGTCGTGAGAATTGGTATTCTCGGTTTAACTGTTTCCTTGCCTTTTGCAAGCGCTTTTTGTTCATGTATTGTTTTTTCTGGATACTTATGACCAACGTTTTCTGTTTTGGACTTTGTTGGCTTGGCGTTAAATATTTTTGTTGTCGCATTTTGTCTGTGTCTCCATTTCTGGGATCCTAAACATTATTTGATTTTTTTCTGAACCTGAGAAGTGGACTTGGTCAGACGAAATTATGTGGTTTGGTTGAAGAAATATTTTGGTGTTTAACTATCCAATTTGGGCAACCCGGTGACCCAGTGGTTCGCGCGTCGACCTCACAGTGCAGAGGTACCAGGTTCAATTCCAGCTGCGGCCTCCCTGTGTGGAGTTTGCATGTCCTCCCATGGGTCTGCGTGGGTTTTCTCCGGGTACTCTGGTTTCCTCCCACATTCCAAAAACATGCATGGCAGGCTGATTGAACACTCCAAATTCGTTCATCTCTGTGTGCCCTACGATTGGCTGACAAGCGGTTCAGGGTGTCCCCCGCCTACTGCCCGAAGACGGCTGGGAAGGGCTCCAGAAACCCTCGCGACCCTTGTGAGGATAAGCGAATTGGAAAATGAATGAAATATCCAATTCTTAGATTTTTTTTTTCCAGTTTTACTTCAAGTGGGAGTTACAAATAAATCTGGCGCAAGCACATTTTCGCCTCTTATTTGGACGAGTGAGAGCGCGACAAAAGAGGCTAAAAAATACTTCTTAAGTATCTTTCGCTAAGTTCAAATGTGTTTCAAAAGTACATACAAACACTCCATACACGATTTCCCCCTCCCGCAAAGAGTGTGCAGCCACAAGCGGAGAGAAAGGAGGATTAAAACCGAGGGGCCGTCGCGCTCAGCCATTGGGCCAGATGGACTAAGTTGACAAGAGCGTCGGGGAAGCGCCGATACACATAACCAGATTAGCGCGCACCAGAATAGAGGCCGAGATGCGGGCGGGCGGGCGGGAAGGCCGCCGCTCGGTCGGAGTCGTTAATGGATTAGTTGCGGACTCCCTCGCTCCGTTCGCCAGCCAACTCTCACACGCAGACGTCTTGAATGACCCGTGTGACAAAAATCAACATTGACGTTCCCGGGATTACACCCGGCCGTTTGTTTATCGTGAAACTTGTGGATCAGGTGGACATGCGCTCAGGAGAAATAACTGCATACACCATGAGATTTTTTTTTTCCCTCATTGCAAGCATTTGGGAGAGCAAATCATCACAGGATGAACAGCAACTTCGGATGTCTCCGCTCTGAATAATCGATGTCCTTTCGAGTTGTCTCCAAAAGTGCTTTCCGTGTCACGCAATTGAAATGCTGGAAAAAAAAAAAACACGCTCAGTTCGACCCAGTTCTTTCTCACTGTCACTGATGCTGGATGAGAATCATAGCGGGGGTTGAGGGGGCTTCCATGATTTTCAACCAGTCCAACAAAAACTGGTCTTGCTGACGTGAGCCTGAAATTATGTAAATGACGTTGCAGCCTTCTTTTTGACAGCTTGGGCGCATCAATTATTCAGCGGATGACATGTCTGGGTTTGAATTATTTAGCTCGCTTGAAAACGTGATTGTGGCTGAACGCTGCCGTTCATTCTTGATCGTGCACCGTGCTCATCATTCTTCCTACCCAAACGTCGCCTGTCATCACCAAAACGTCGCAGGGTGCCTTTAAGATATCATTGTTGCCATCAGCCATTTTCCATCCGAAGAAATGAAAACACTCGCAAGGAGCATGGAGGAGACGCTCACGCTTCTGATGTCACACACCGAGGCAGGCCCCCTGAAAGCCGAATTCAATATACGAATGTAGTCATGCTTAAAAAAAAAAAAGTATGATTTTTTTTCTTGCTGGAGGGAAGAAATTATTGTTATTTAAATACGGGGATTTGGGGGGGGGGGCGCACCAACCATTTATCACTGGTGGCATCTTAGCAATGACATGTTCAGTTCCTGCTGCACCAACACAAACATGATGACCAACACGAAAGAACAAACAAACCAAAAAAAAAAAATCACCTTAGTCACAAAATATTCACCACCACCTCAGCAGGTGAATTGTACATCACGAAATAGCAACAAATCCTCAACATTATGCATCGACGCGGTGGCAGCTCTTTGGGGTGCGTTCATGGTCCCCCCCACCCCCCATCCTCGCCTCTCTCTCACCCTCCACCAGTCAGCCTTTGCCCCCCCGGGACACACCCTCCATCCCCCCGGGGGATTTTTACGCACCTCACTGTGTCTCTGTGACACACCCCGCGTTTGACGTCCCCTCCGAGGACAACCGGCGTTGCCCGCCACCCTCAAACTGCATCCGCGCGCTCCGCATGCGGGCTGCAGCATATTTACGCACGCGTGCGTAACCGATCGCCTCTCGCATTGTTTTCTTGTCCCCCCCGATACGGGCGCGCGCGCGCGTGCACGCTCGCGCGGAGCCTCCTATGCGGCGCGATGGGAAAAGAGCACATGCAGCATCTCACCGTGTTAGACGGCGTCCGACTCGGTCACTGGCTCATCCTCCCCGGCGTGTGATCACATCCCACCCTTCAGCGACCCGTTCAGCAACTCAATGGGCCGCTGCGCTCTTCCTCTTCTCCTCCTCCTCCTCCACCACCTCCTTTGCTACTGAGCATGCGCACTGCACTGACACTCTCTCTCTCTCTCTCTCTCTCTCTCTCTCTCTCCCTCTCTCTCGCAACGCACCGCTGCCTTCCTCACCCTTCACTGAGAAAAAGTCATTTGAATTACCTTCATTCGAAGATGGGACAGCGGCTGTTGTGTATGTTGAGTGGTCGGAAGGCAAAAAAAAAACAAAAATATGATCAGTAAAACGCATGTCGTGCATTTCAACACACCAGCGCCAAATAGAGCATCAAAATGTTGCATATTAACGTCCTCTTTATTAGTTTATTATAAGGAAAGAGCCAAAGGTCAGGCAACACACGACTAGGAGGGGGCGGGGGGCACATGTTTGACAATCTCACTCAGTCACACACACACACACACACACACACACACACACACACACACACACACACACACACACACGTTATTAGTGAGGGAAACTCCGCACTCGTTTTTCCAGAGTGAGAAAAAAACAGTAAAAGAGGCTTAGATTCTCAGGGGATTGGCGCCAAATTTTAATGGGATCATCATAATCATCATCATCCACACCAACAAGTTTTTTTTTGTTGTTTTTGATGATCTTATGCGTGGATTTCATTCTCTTGGTTATAATCATCATCATCCACACCAACTAAGTTTTTTTTTTTTTTTGTATTTGATGATCTTATGCGTGGATTTCATTCTCTTGGTGGCATTAAAATGTGGGGGAATATTTGTTAATGACGCTGTTGCATCCTCTGTCTTCTTTGTGGGGGGTTTCTCCCCTCTACATAAAGCGTAACACAAATGCCGCTCCACCTCCGCCTCCCTCTGCACAAAATCGCCAAACAGGAAGACACTCCCGTGGGCGCTCTCCATCACCCAACTATAAAGATGCGCACCAGAGTAACTCCGGGGCTTCCATTTTTACGCATTCATGCAGTCTCAACATATGTACGCATCATGTTCACTCCATTTCATACACCTGCACCTCAGGTTAAACTCAACACAAAAACAAACCGCATCAACACAAATATATCTTTGCATCCAACCAATCACGATGCAGCATATCCCAAAGTCCCCGGCGCCCCGTTCGTCGGTTCCTGCTTATTCGTCAGCATCGTTAGTCGCGGGCCACCAATTTGTAAGCCACGTCGAGTGTCGGCTTTCTCACACTCTCAGGATGATTGTTTCCCATCAACTTGAGGACATTATGGCGCTAACAGCCACACAGTTGAAACAAAGCATCTGGCAATATGTTCATTAAGCCCCCCCCCCCCTGTCCTGCCATCGGAGCTGATTGTTCGTTGCGCACGTGCTCAACACACAGACGCTATCTGACATGTTCCCATCAAGATTGCCGCTTATGCAGATCACCCTCCTTCCATCCTGTCAAGTCAATGATCATTGTTGTTGATAAATCAACACCCAAATCCAAGCACACACTCCAGGTTATGACTCTTGCAAGTACAGAGAACGTTTGTTCACATTCAAAACATTCACTTTTGCCTTCTTTGAGGAAACGGGGGGGAAAAAAAGAAGGCTCTCTTGCTTGTACAGCTCTCCAAAGAAGAGGTCTAGTGTGCTTGCTTCAAGCTGTTTTTCACTCCCAATTGACGTTTTCTTTCAACATCATATGGAAAACAAAATACCCAATCACACACTGTATATTCAAACACCCCAAAGTTCAACCAAAGTGTTGAATTTGTGGAACCAAAGTCAAGGAGAGAACTTGTACTTGTCTATCTGTGGAAAATGAGCGGGATAAAATTGGACAATGATGCGTGAAGAAAAAGATGAGAAGAAGAAGTCTGAAGAAAAAGGTGCCAAATTGCAATTCATCACTTGAATCTGCTCACTTGCTTCTCGCCTGGAGCGTTTCTGACCTTTCATCATGATTCATATCTTTCTCTTCACACACACACACACACACACACACACACACACACACACACACACACACACACACACACACACACGCACCTGTAAACTTCGCCGCACATCCCGTGTCGTGCCGCCACATGCCAATTTGACGCCGCACAAAAGCGAGTGACACCCCCGACTGTGCCAACATGAAAAAAGAGCGAGGGGGGGGCGGCGGGTGGGAAACAGGCTGACCTCAGTTCAGTTGAATAATGCAAGGGGCCTAAAGGAAGACAACACAACAAACTGGCATAATTCATAAGCGCCGGCACCAATAATGCATGAATTAGAAAAAAAAAATGAGGCAAGGCTTATGCAAGAGGCAGCTGTATGAAAGGGGGCGCCACTCGCTACAATGAAAGGCTGCGCCCTTCGCACGTTAGCGAGCGCTCGTCTTTTCGCGGGGAGAAGCACGATGGTTGACTCGCATTCGCCGGCTCTCGCTTGCGTTTCAGCTCCGCTGCGCTTCCATGCCAGTGAAGCAGCTTGTTCCCATCAAACATCATCAATTAAAGACGAGCCATGACGGCGTCACATTCTGCCTGAACTAGTTCAGTCCGCATCTCACATTCACCGGGGGGGAAAGAGGAAAAATGAGAGAGGATGATGAGATGGAAGAAGAGTGATGCGAGCGTAACGAGGACGCTCGGAGACGGAGGGAGGATGGGGAAGCAAAAGACCGAGGCGAGCAAATCCACTTCACGCACATCGCATGTCTTCTCCTCACCCTTTGGTTTTTTTTTTTGGGACGGCGTTGCGCCGTCTTCCAACGACCCCCCCCCATCCCCCACCCCCTTCGCTGACAAAAGGGCAGCAAATCAAATTTGGAGGCGGGTTGGAGGACGTGCACGCTCCGCTTGGCCGAAATGGCCAAACGTCCACCTGCCGTCAAAGTAGCACTGCATTGTGTGTTTCATACCGCTCAAAAGTGAGAACTGTTTTTTTTTTTGTTTGTTTTGTTTGCCACAACTGTAGTCTGAAACGCTTCGTGGGGGGGAAGCACAACAGAAAACTACGACTGATGGCTATGAAATTTCACACGCACATTTCTACTCGTGCCCAAATCAATCGCGAAACGATACCACCACCAATATTTGGGATTTTATGGACACTGAATGATGGCAGTGCTGTGAGCGCCCGATTAGCACGCCCGCCTCTCAGTGGAGAGGTGCAGGGTTCGGATCCAGCTCTGTGTGGAGTTTGCATGTTCTCCTCGCGACTGCGTGGGTTTTCTCCGGGTACTCTGGTGTCCTCCCACATTCCAAAAATATGCATGACAGGCTGATTGAACACTCTAAATTGTTCCTAGGTGTGATTGTGAGCGCGAATAATGCGTATGAGCTTCCGGCTACTGTTGATTCCAAGCTACCGGGACGCCATTTATTAGTTGTCCTTTTTGTTCTCATAACCTCTCATTTGTTGCATCTGCACTATAGAATGCGACAATAATGAATTTCTATTCTATTCTGTGGTTGTTTTTATGTCCTCTACAACAAGGTTGGGTTGAGCGTGTCAAAATAAGCCACGCTAGCTGCAAAATGCTAACTTGAGCACATGCTAGGCTTCGCTATTAGCAGTTCTTTTACCAATAGCACACACTTTGAACAAGCAGCAAACCTCTAAACCACATGAGCACTGATCCACTGTGGCTCACTAACTCACACACTCACACACACACACACACACACACACACACACACACACACACACACACACACACACACACGCGGACACACACAGTAAAAAGCCTCATCCTGGTGATGAGGATGACTGGGTTGAAGAAGGGCTGCAATGGTTTGTTTGTGGTTTTCCAGGCTGACAAGATAGAGCACTGGTGTGTGTGTGTGTGTGTGCGTGTGTGTGCGTGTGTGTGTGTGTGTGTGTGTGTGTGTGTGTGTGTGTGTGTGTGTGTGTGTGTGTGTGTAAGTCGTGATTGTCTTACAAAACCAATTTCCTTCTTTTGTGTAGCTCGCAAAATAAAGTCAGATGGTATCAATGTCTTTCAGGTTGACGCAGCTGCAGGTTCCTCCCTAAGTACACCCCAAAAATGAAAATGTGACCAAAATTCAATATCTTAAATAAAGGTAAAAATATGCTCTTTCTTTGTCTGCTGAGATATTAATTACAGTATTTTGTGCCACCATTTTTTTTTCTCTTAACCCCTTCATGCACCCTGTAACCTGATAACATGGTAAGCTATCATTCACATTCAAAGCATTTTGTTCAACTTAGCGATTACGGGCACCTCCGAGTATGAAGCGGTGCAGTTGAACATGCCTGCAAACGGTTAAGTCATCACTTGTGGATGAAACGCTGGACATGCCAGAGTGCGTCCGCTTTGCCCAAAACTGCCACATTTGGATGTAGAAAGCAACCCGACGCTTCATCTGCAGAGGCCAAGCTTTTGCGGCAATGTGGGCAGGGCAGACCGAATTAGAAGGCTGCCATATGTCAACCTTGTGATCACGCAGTCGTACAGCGAGGGAGCGGCCGCCGGTAATGAGCATGTAGCCGTGAAGGGTTTCAAGCCCGTCTGTTTTTACTCGGTTCTCTCTTAACTTTAGCATCTGTCTGCCGTTGGATGACTTTGTGAAACGATTGGCAGCTTTGAGGGGTCCGGGGGGAGGTTTCTTTTCAGGCCAACTCGCGCTTGCCCTCCGCTGCCGGCGTCGAATCATTTCAAAGCGTCGACTTCAATTCAAAGAGCATTCTTGGAAGCGCACAAAAGTTGCACATTTTCCCAGACTGTACAGTAATTGCTTTACAAGTGTATGGGAAGCCATTTTTGCATTCATTCAAGATCCTACAAGTACGCTCAACTGTCCATGCACTAATACGTGCTCTGTCCTCATAAGTAGAACACTTTAGGGCAACAGTTGAAGAATTATGTCATACTCGTACATTTTTCCCACTAGTGCATACACGAGCAGCTACACTCTTCAGCAACTCAGCAGACTACGTCAACTGACGATGTGTCATTAGTAACATATTTTCAATAAGTGAATGACATTTCTTCATATTAGTCGAAACAACTGTCCGTGACTTGGCATCTGCGTGCTACGAGCGTCTCTGGTGAGATGATACAATCCTAAATGGTCACATCTGGCTCTTCATTCGAAGTACTGTACTAGTAGCGTGCGGTTTTGTCTGAATAGTAAAAAATAATAATAATAATAATAAAAATAAAAATGTAGTTGTTCCCTTTGTCATTCTGCTAGTGCAAAGACATACAGTCGTGGAAAACACATCAGTCATGAGGCACAAATGTTCGACGAGCAGGCTGAATTGTCTTACTTGTGAGGACCAAGAGTGTACTAGTACATGAATGGGGAATAAACGCTCAAGTGGTTTTGTACATACACACTGTACGCAGAGTGTGTGGCGGTTTGAAGCACATACGCCTGCCTGCCTGCCTGCGTGTGTGTGTGTGTGTGTGTGTGTGTGTGTGTGTGTGTGTGTGTGTGTGTGTGTGTGTGTGTGTGTGTGTGTGTGTGTTTGTGCTTCCAAATATAACACGCCAGATGAGGGGCAGGGAGGCAGGGCGAGGTTGGCGCAGGGGGATATAAATGGATACTAATTGTATGGCTCAGTCAGATTAAAAAGCAGAGGATTTAACAAAAACACACGCGCCCGTGTGAGTGCACGCACGCCCATGCGCGCACACAAACACACACGCACACTCGAGCACACGCTCTTCCTGTGCGCACGTCAAAATTGCCTCTGCTCGTCACTCTCAATGCATCATCGAGCGCTCCAAAATGACACGTGTGGTTGTGCATTTAAATGCATGACAATTTTATGCCTCTCATTGGACAGCCAAATCCAACCAAAATGACTTTTTCCTTGTATTATTCCTTTAATCCTTCCCAAAATTCAGCCCCGCCTGCCCTCCCCCCCAGACACCCCCCCCCATGCACTGCTGTATGGATTTTGCACATTTGTCAGAGCTTAAAAAGTCAAACGACTCCAAAGAGGAAAAGCGGGAAATCAAAAGAAGGTGAAGCTCAATTGGCGAGAAGGTGCAAGCGGATGAAGAGGAAGACGAGAAGCAAAACCCAAGAGCCAACTATGAATTCTGATAGAACTGCTTGATGGGGTGGCTCACAGGCTCCGGGGTCACACGCACCAACCCTCGTATCGCTTCAATTCTACGACTTGAGAAGGACTGCCTGAAAGACAAGTGTCATTGAATAAATTCTCGTCCAGTACATGCTGTCCACTGTCAGTTAACTTGGTCTCAGTCGCCGTTTGCTCATTTCAGAACGGGGCAAAAATACCTGCTGAGTGGTGCACAAGCATCACCGAAAGTTACATAAATTGTTTGACTGCATTAATTGGCTCAAATGTTTTGCAAGTTAAGGGTATCATCATTTTTGTCCAGGTCTGTTTCATGATTTTTTTTAATGAATCTGCTGAACCACATTCACATTTCATTTTCATTGGTTGATTTTTATTATGGCCTGTTTATTATTATTATTTTTTTTTTATTATTATTGTTATTTTCCTTAAAAGAGGGGTACCAAAATTTTTCTCCGTTCGTAATTCACGTTTGTGGAATTTGGGCTGAAGATGGATCATTCCAGAAAACGATATCGTCCCTCAGGCGCTAAGCTGTCGCCATCTTCTGGTCAATACGAGTAATGCTGTCGGTGACAACTTCCGGGAATCGAAAACAAAAATACGAGCCGTTTTTTTTCGTTTGTAAACCGTGATTCATTCGTTCTTTCGTGTTGTATTTTTGTATTTTATGTTTATAGCATATGTCGTGCCAACTTCCGGTTTGTGATGACGGCGGTAGTCTATTACTTCATTCATCAATTCATAAAACAGAACTACTGCCTCAAATTCTGAATTATTTTATGTATTTATTGACAATATTGTCTGTTTTTGCTTTCTTGTCAATTTACTTCTTCAATAAAGAGTGTGCAATTAAAATTATGATAGATATATTTTCACGGCATATGCTAAAATCTGCTTTTTTACGGGGGCGAGTGGCCATTGAATTGTCACTCTGGATGCAGCATTTCATCGCCAAGCCACCAAATTACACTTGAGATCATTATATTCATGAGCCTCGCTATTTGCTAACAGATGGGTAGAAATAAAACAGATTTCTGAAGAATGTCTCAGTTGTTTAATTTCACACTCGATGTGTAAGATGGAAATCCAGACACACAACTTTTTGGATACAAACATGACCAAAAAACAAAAAATCACTTGTATCTAAGCTTTCCTCTTTAATGTCATCACAGCCTGCTCTCAAATATCGCGGGGTCTTCGGTTTGGCCAGCCGGAAATCCGTCCACTGGCTCTGGAACTAAAAAAAAAAAAAAAAAAAAGCAGTGTCAATAAAAAATTGCAAACTATGACCTGTCAAGAAATCAAGTCGAGAGGCAATTTCTGAAGAAAGAACTGACATTGGATTCAAACAAATACTTAAAATCAGTCCAGAAATGTGGAAGGACAACGTCAATATTCAATATGTGAAGGTGTCTCTAATTTGGAAATTGGGGTGTGACAATGTGGAATTTTTATTGGGAAATGAAAAATAGATCATGAGATGTTTTGAATGAGCTAAAGATTTTCAAGCAGTTGAGAAACATTGAAGATACAATATATACGTCAAATGGCTTAACTAATTTTGTAAAGGAAAATTCAGCACAGTGAAGAAATTATGCGCTGACCTTTGACCTGCCGGCTCAGGAGACGTGGCCCTGCCAGGCCGATGCCCAGCGCTCCGATGGGCGCGGTGATTAAGATGGCTAAGACGGCTAATGTTAGCACGTCTAAACCGAACTTCACCAAGGTCTCATCACCCACGTCCCTCGCCGTATCTAACGCCGTGGAGCCGATGGCCGCCTGTCACACGTTTAGTTTTCCATTGTGGCCTCAGAAAATAGGCCACTCCCAACCATTACCAAGATCTGTTGGGCTTCTGCTGAACTTTGACCTCCAGCCAAGAGATCGAGTGACGTACCTGCACCGTGGCCTTGGGCAGCCAAGCGATGGCGATGAAGAATTTCTCCTTTAGCATAAAGCCCGCACCGTGTACCACCGCAAAGGTGGTGGCCAGTCGCACCACCAGACCGATGGCGATCACGGCCACACCCAAACCTGTACGAGACCGCAGATGACTCATCGCAATGTGATTGGTCGCCACCCCCTGTCGTGCCACACCGTGCTTCTCACCCACAGTGTTGAGGCTCAATGTCGTTATTACGATCTCTGCTCCAATCAGGCCGAAGAGGAGGGGCTGGAACACGTCCCAGCACCTCCCCAATATGGCCGCCACCCCGATCTGCAGCAAGATGGATGAAACCATAATTGCCATGCAGAAACTATCCCATGGGATTCATCGGTGGTCGTCTAATTGAGGTGTGGCATCTATTCGAGCATATATTGTTGTCCCTCAACCATGATTACCTTGTCAGCGCGCCAACCCAGCGCGGCCAGAAAAGCCAGAACCAAGGTGCACAGGCCGCCAGCCCCCGAAGCGCCCACCACTTGAGTGAAGAAGACGGCAAAGATAGAGAACGCCAACAGGAGGAAGCTCCTAGTCGCCACCACGTCCTCCTGCATCAGCACCACCTTCAGCCCGATATCAAGGTCGCGGACTAAACATAAAAGGGCTTTCCACACGAACCTGATCCGCGCTGGGGAAGAAACATAAGAAGACGCCCACAAGGATGCCACCCAAAACTCCGCCCGCCACTTCCAGGAGACCCTTCAGGACGCTCATCCACGTGGAACCTAAGCATACCCGCACACGTGCACACACTTGGATAGGGAGCAGAACTCAAAGCGAACCAGAAGCCGAACCTGTGGAGAAGGTCACGCCCAGACAGGTGGAGAATCCCGTGATGGCCAAAATGTCATCAAAGCTGCCGGCAGCCATCAGGAGTGTCGGGATGCCCTGCGGAAGCCCCAAACATCTTCGGTCAAAGCCAAGAGGAACTTCAGGAGTAGCCTGGCACAACTTCAGTCGTATCGCAGGCCAATCCAAGGAAAGCTGCAGGTTACCTTCTCGGTTCCGTAACCTTCCTTCTGCAGCAGTAACATGGATGGAACCACCACAGCTGGTGACACCGCTGCCAGGACAAACCTGCGCACCCATGAGCATGGGTCACTTGTTGACCCGCAACCATGCAACTCCATCTACACGCAACACGTACCCCAGTAGGAAGCCCCACGCCCACGGCAGAGCCAACAGGAAGTGAGAAACCACGGCAACCACGCAGGCCTCCACCACACACGGCCCGACCGCCACGCGCAGGCACACCGCCTTCAGGCGGCGCAGCGCCTGCAAGAACACCCCTGTCACCTGGTGTGCGTGCTTGCGTGTGTTCGTGTACGTGCGGTACCGAGGGGTCCAGCCCCAGGCCAGCTCGGGCCAGAATGATGGACAGCGCCACACTCCTCAAAGCTGCGGACCAAGCGGCGTCCACGTGGACGGCATCCGTCACATAGGGAACATTCCTCAGGACCAAGCCGGCCAGCAGCATGCCTGTGCAAACACATACAAAGCATCAGGTGTGTGTGTGTGTGTGTGTGTGTGTGTGTGTGTGTGCGTGTGTGTGTGTGTGTGTGTGTGTGGGTGTGTGTGTGTGC